TTTGAATATTTAATTTTTCCCATGGACTTTGTACACAGAAATTTTAAAAAAATTGTCGCTTTTCAAAGGGCATTTTTGACTGTTTGCCAGTTATTCATTTACACCACTCTTTGTCCAAGCAAAGACCCTAATTCAAACACCATTGTGGAATGATGACGTCATGATGACGTCATCCTGTGTTTATTTATAGGCAATTAAATTGTGACACTTTTAATATTTAAAAATGCATAAGAAATCAACCGTACGCGTCCGCAGCATTCTGTTGCCGGCGGGTGGTAGAGTAGGTTGAGGTCTTCATTTCATTCAGTGTGCGTACAATCACGTGACCCTTGCTTCCGGTCGAAAAAGGCCCAAACCGGAAGTGGCTTATTATTTGAAAGTGGTAATAGAAATGAACTTGCTTTCAACGGTGTTAGTCTCTTGGCCGATAGTATTCTTCAAATCATCTACCGATGACGTCATGCAATCTTCGAGCGCCCTCTAGCGACAGGTTGAAAATTAGCAAAAATGTATTTTGAATAGATGTCTGTGGCGAAGTTTGTCGGAATCGCCTAAATATTGGTGTATATGATGACCTTGGCCCACTTAAGACGTGTGTGAAGTTTTAGGCGAATGACGTCATCAGACCGGAAGTCATAATAAAAAGACCCTTTTTCATTTGAAAATTCCTGAAAAATCAACCATGGCAGTTTTTATATTTGTTTTTACTTTAATTGTCGATTGAAGAATAGGTCTAAAACATTTAAAAGTTTCGAGGCGATAAGCGAACTCGAACTCACCCTGCGCACGCTTAAAACTTCACGTTGACAATACCTCTGCTTCAAAACATGCACAGGACAGGACGTCCACAATGTATATGTACATGCACGTACGTTGTACATAGGCACATACATCGTATGTCAGTCAGCCTGCAGCGCACGTGTTGCTGGGGTCAAATCCTGTCCACAGTGACCGTTTTAGCCGATTTTCGGCTAACTTTGACAGATTTTATGTTCATGCATGCGCATAGACAGGGACGTATTATAGCACTTTTGGCATTTATCTTTGTAAGATATCATTGAAAGTTGGCATAAGCATAGTCCCTATAGCCAAGATGTGTCCCGAAGAGTGACGTCATGGTGACGTCATCAAGTGATTTATTATGGATTTATGAACAATTAATTTTTCTCATAGACTTTGTACACAGCTTTCTCCACAAGTCTTTCCCTATACAACACTGATATATCTTACTGAGTAGTTCTGAACTTCGGCTGAGAATTACTATGAGAAGGAAAAAGAAATCGTATTTTTTTTACGCCTGTCATTGGATTGAAAATATTCCCAAGAGTTAGAATAGCAAGGAATATTTTATCAAATTGTTTCAGTTTAAAGGAAAATCACGCATTTGAAGGTGCAGTTTTTCTGCTGTGGGATTTTTAACCTATTGACATTGTACACGTTTTCAAGCCACCATTTTCATAACTTGGCGATCTGGAATCGTCATCAAAGTTACAGCCAAGGAAGACCCTCATACAAAAATTATGCCAAGACTATGACATCATGGTGACGTCATCATCAAGTGATTTATTATGGATTCATGAATAATTAATTTTTCTCATAGACTTTGTACACAGCTTTCTCTACAAGTCTTTTCCTATACAACACTGATATATCTTACTGAGTAGTTCTGAACTTCGGCCGAGAATTACAATGAGAATGAAAAAGAAATCGTATTTTTTTACGTTTGCCATTTGATTGAAAATATTCCCAATAGTCAGAATATCAAGTAATATTTTATAAAAATGTTTCAGTTTGAAGGCAAATCACGTATTTAAAGGTGCAGTTTTTCTGCTGTGGGATTTTTAACCCATTGACTTTGTACACGTTTTCAAGCCAACATTTTTATAACTTGGCGATCTGAAATCGTCATCAAAGTTACAGCCAAGGTAGACCCTCATGCAAAAATTATGCCAAGACTATTACGTCACGATGACGTCATCACCTAATTTTTTTTATTGATTTTTGAAAATTTACGTACATATTGTGAAGTCTTATATCTACAGAAATGTAAGTCTGATTGGGTTGAAACTTGGTATGTGGCTATACCAGGATGTGTTATAGATTAAAAATGAGGTGACGTCATGATGACGTCATCCTGAGATTTTATATGAATATTTATTTTTTTGGACCTTTTAGCCATATCTCCCGAACGCAACATGCAAAATGCAAAATTCTTTTTTGCATTTGGTCTGTTATGTAATAGCTATTCGCACAAAACTTGAAAAATGTGTGACGTCATCATGACGTCATCAAAATGCGATTTTTCTAATTTCATATAAGGAAAGGTCCAACTGTCATGAAACTTGGTGGGTAGGTAGTTAATCATAGAAGTATGCAAAGTTCGCAGTGACGTCAGGATGACATCATCAAAAAATTTAAAAATATTTGTCAGTAATTTATTTAGATCACTCTTTGTCCAAGCAAAGACCTTGTACACACGCACATACATCGTATTGCCGAGGTCAAATCCTGTCCACAGTGACCGTTTTAGCCGATTTTCGGCTAACTTTGACAGATTTTATGTTCATGCATATTCAGGGCATATTATTGATTAAAAAAAATCATAATGCGGAAAAGCCCTATGTTCTGTTGCAATCAGACATAGACCTCTAGTTTTTCCTTCTCCTTTTTCAGACTTTTTCTCCATAGGTTTAACACACGTTTCTTCTACCACTCCAGTTTGCCACTTTTTGAAATCCGATTGATTTCAAACTTGGTACATACTTAGACCACCACCCACAGATTGTCCTAGAAGAAATTTGTGATCGTGACGTCATCAGGTGTCAGGTTACATCACATTAAAGATGCATTTTTCACCATATGTTTTGTACACGTTTTAAAACACTCCAGTTTGGCATCTTCGTAAATCCGATCGACTTTAAACTTAATTCATACTTAGACCACCACCCACAGATAGTTCTAGACGAAATTCGTGATCGTGACGTCATCAAGTGTCAGGTTTCGTCACATTAAAGATGCATTTTTCCCCATAGGGTTTGTACATGTATTAAAACGCTCCATTTCGGCACTTTCGTAAATCCGATCGACGTTACACATGATACACACTTAGACCATCACCCACAGATGGTTCTTGAAGAAATTCGTGATCATGGCGTCATCAGGTGTCACGTTACTTCACATTAAAGATGCACATTTTCCCTATATGTTTTGTACACGTTTTAAAACACTCCACCTTGGCATCTTCGTAAATCCGATCGACTTTAAACTTAATTCATACTTAGACCACCACCCACAGATAGTTCTAGACGAAATTCGTGATCGTGACGTCATCAAGTGTCAGGTTAGGTCACATTACAGATGCATTTTTCCCCATAGGGTTTGTACATGTATTAAAACGCTCCATTTCGGCACTTTCGTAAATCCGATCGACGTTACACTTGGTACACACTTAGACCATCACCCACAGATGGTTCTTGAAGAAATTCGTGATCGTGACGTTATCAGGTGTCACGTTACTTCACATTAAAGATGCACATTTTCCCTATATGTTTTGTACACATTTGAAAACACTCCACTTTGGCACCTTCGTAAATCCGATCGACCTCAGTCTTGATACATACTTAGACTACCACCCACAGATGGTCCTAGAAGAAATTCGTGATTGTGACGTCATCAGGTGTTTGGTTACATCACATTAAAGATGCATTTTTCCCCATAGGGTTTGTACACGTTTTAAAACACTCTACTTTTAATTGGCACTTTTGTAAATTATGCGATCGACGTTAGACCTGGTACACACTTAGACTACCACCCACAGATGGTCCTAGAAGAAATTCGTGATCGTACCAATGCCAAGATGGGTTATAGACAAATTAATGTGATGTCATCATCAAATGTCATGTGACGTCCCTTAAAGGGGCATTTTGTTCTTTATAGGCCTATATTTACAGACCTACATGTTCGATTTGGTTATAACTTGACATGTACATATAATGTGCTGTTATAGATGACATTTTTAGTGACGTCACTGATTGTTCATGACGTGCACAGAGTATTTCGAATATCCGAAACAGCTTGTGTTTGTCCACAAACTCATCTCTAGTTTAATTTGAAAACGATCGGTTCAAATTTTACCAAATCGCCCCTGGATATTCTTTGATTAGCCACAGATAATTTGGCAAGGTTCCAAATTCATGACGTCATCGGACGGACAGTTACTTCTATGAGAATTTGAAAACGAATTTGAATACATACAGTTATATTTTCCATATTTTTATACGATATTTAGCTTCACAACGAACATTTATCCACTCCGTACTAAATCGGTATCCACTTCCCCGCGTTTTTGAATAATGACATCATCAAGCCAGAAATAACTTGTATGAGTACACAGAATGTTTACTAAACTTTATCACACCGTTAAAGATGCATTTTGAAACCAAATAATTGATTGTACTGGAAAGGATTTACTTCGTGATCCTTTGTTCTTACATGAACATATTCATAACTCAACTCGGCAGTGTTAAATGAACAGATTGCCTGCCCGACCACTCTGCGTTTGTTGCCCGACCACTCTGCGTTTGTAACAACAAACGCGAAGCTCTAGTTGTTATTGTGTTTCTTGCGAGCTATGTAATATTTTGTCACCTCAAACGTTTTACTCCCTTTTCTCCAGCTATTTGTTTGGAAATGTAGACTAAGGTCAATCATATAAATCAAAAAAAAGGTCAGGTTCCGAAATTTCATTCAGATAATTTGAAGTAGCGAACACATTTTTTCATAAAACTGCATGATTTTGGCCTTGTTTAAATTTCAATTGATAACAATGAATGCATGAATGGTTAATAAGCGGGAAAAGCACTTAATTCCAAGATTGCTGCCATTCGATGGGTCAATTACTGTACGGAAAGGATTGTTTTTCCTAAACATTATGAAACAAAAGGTCGTCATGTGGTATGTTGACTGAGCTTTATTCATTCCCTTAATCGTACTTGAAACAGACACTGTTCGGTTGGAGGGAGGACCCAATAACTTCAGTGGCCGGGTGGAGAACTTCCGAGACTTCACGTGGGGAACGATCTGCGACCGTGACTGGGACATCACGGATGCCGGGGTGGTCTGCCGACAACTCGGGTTCCCCAGCGCCTTGGAGGCCAAGCCCGGAGCGCACTTCGGGGAAGGAAGTGGCCCGGTGCACATGGAGGGCGTGGCCTGTACCGGCTCGGAGGGGGGACTCGGTGACTGCCCATCTCACTGCTGGACAGCAACCACCTGCAGCCACAGCCAAGATGCCGGGGTCATCTGCAGTGGCGGTAGGAACACAGACAGCTTTTGATTCATCTCAAGAAACAACATTAAAAATAGCACAAACAACGAAACAAACTATAAGCAGCAAAGGGTATATAATTCACAAATATCATTGGGTCTCAATGAATTCAAAATACTGGGATGATCATTTCCGACATCTGCGTTTTAAAATCCTAATCAAACACTTTTGATAATAAATCAAGTGTCACACAATGAGTCCATACAAACTAATCGAAGTGATTATCAGGTGATGCGCGCGCATGTTGGGAACCCTATTGGTCAAAGGAGCATTACAATATCACGTGCTAATCCTGCGCGTGAGATCGTCATATAACCACTTTAATGGTTTCTAATTATTGAGGTCGGCGGATTTTTTTCTGTTGTAAATATGATATTTAGGACTGTATTTGAATGGGATTTTCTCTTCTTTCATTGTTTCAGAATCTAGTGGTTTTGAAGAAACCAACAGTGAGTGACGAGACTATTGACAACCAGCTTCATGCAGTTCCTGTGATAGCCCTGCTTAAAGGCTACATTTACCTGTATTGTGGCATACGCTTGGTATAAATGTTACTCCGTTGTGTATTAAAATGTATCAATTAATTCGTGGTGTAATCAATTTCATTTTGTGCCATTTAAATTAATGTTGATGTCTAGTAACTTTAAATGAGCTACTCAAACGACTCCCATAATTAAGAAAAATTCACCAAATTTCAGGCTGACCTAATATGGTTTAAAGAAGGGAAAACAGAGAAAAACGAAATTCACTCAATACAATGACATTTACCTTTTATTTCCTTTATCGAGGACGGATTTGGGTTCTTTTTGTTACATAAGAACACAAGTGCATTTACAATCAATAGTGCTAATGGCCGAAGCACATGTACTTTTCACTTAGTAGGTCACACCTTTGGATAGAAAGAGACACAGTATGCTTTTATGTTTAATTTACATCATAATTTGCTCTTGCTCAATTTTGTTTTTCGATTTGAACAAAACGCATGATAAAAACATTCACATTCAGTTTAGTAAAATATAAGGCATGTTTCAATACAACGTGTAGCAGAAACTGCTTTGCAGTAATTGTTTGTGAATGTAATTATAAAAATATCTTGCTTTCTCTTTAGCTTCTCGTGGATACTTTGTTCTTGGAATCTACAGTCAAAATTGCATCTTATACCAACATATTAACACATTCCTCTCTGATCAAAACGTTGTCACAATTATTTTGAATACAACAAGAATCATGACCTCATGAATATTCAAAAAACTAATACTCATGTCGGACGGCTTATGTGTTATTCTAGAAACATCGAGTTATATTTCACAATCATTAATGTTATCAAACGTACACAGTGGCGTCGCCAAGGGGGGGCCAGGGGGGCACGTGCCTCATTACCTCAAAAATAGCAATTTCTTGAGATATCTTCAGATCGAATTTAGCATCAAATGTGGCACCATTTTGCATCTAGCCCATCCTCCGTATGCGAAAATTTTCCAAAGGGGAGGGGGGCACCCCCTCCCCTTAGACCCCTCCCCCAGGACGGCGATCCGTATCCACCTAAGTGCCCCCCCCCCCCATTAAATGCTGGTGCCCCCCCCCCGTGCCCCCCCCCCCCCCCCCCCCCCCCAGACTGAAAAGTCTGGTGACGCCACTGAACGTACACAATAGGTCCTTGTAGTTAATGTGCACTAATATTAAAGCTGTTGGTAATCTTCTAAAGATTCCACCGCTTGCCAATTCATTTTGAAAATATCATCATCAATCGATCCATAAGAGTCTTACTCGCTTATAAGAATCGTATACGATTCATATAAAATTTAAGATTCTTATAAGATCTTATTAGTTAAATTCGTAGGGGATGGTTTCAATATATACTCAATTCCTCGTTATTTTGATCAATAAATATGTCATGATAGTTAAAAACGTGTTCATCTGGCGAATTCAAATTTTTATCAATTTTTGCTTTTAAAGATACGGACCGGGTGGCATAAATAATGACAATTTTCAGGTCGATTAGGTAAGACAACAATAAATCAGCCATTTGATTTATTGCAATCATTACTCAAAGGGAATGATTAATCATTTTAAGAAATGATGGTATTCTTGTCATATTGATTGCAATGAGCATGTTAGGATGTGTCATCACAGCTTGTACTTCTGGTGTTGCTGCTCTTCAGTCTGCAGGTGCATGATGGTCTCATGGTGATTGGGTTCCAGATTAGTCAGTAGCTGGTCAGCGATGCGATTGTGCAGCCTTGTGCCGACATGCCAGAAAAAAAATAATTTAAAAAAAAAAAAAAATGTAGAAATAGAATTACAAACAATGGAAGAAGTTCAGTCTGAAACTATAATTAATTTGAAACTACAAGACAACAGACGACTTCTTAAAATTAATGTTGGCAGCATGTGCGCCTCTCCAGTGCTATACTGCATTATTCCAGCCGTGTCATTCACAATTTCATTAAGTGCACGCATGTCAAACTTCTGTTGCACTGCGATTGCCGAGCCTTGTGCCGACCTACCGGCAAGTCGATCATGAATTGTCCACCATCATGAGCAATGGCAAATGGAACCATTGAACATTATTTTCAATGTTCATTTTGCCATTTTAAGATTTTGTTTTGTTTTGTTGGTTTTTTTAGGCAGAAACCTCAATGTTACACAGGTATTTGAGTACCACAATGTGTCAGAATTTACATTTGTTTGCCGTCGTAAAATTTCCTTTCATTGGTGATTCGTTGTTGTTTCAGTACATTAAAGTAAGCTAATGACAGATGTTTTCTCACAATTGTTTTCAATGAACAGATATTTGGGTTCATAATTTGAATAGAAAACCCAGTAAGTGAAAAGTGTCTTCCTAAAATGGCATCACTGCAACAGCGCCCTCATTATTTTGTCAGAAAAAGCATGGGAAAATTAAAAGTTTAGAAAGGTTCACTTTTCAATAAAATTAACCAAAAAAGTGGAAAAGAGTTTTCACACACAAACAAATATGTTCCCAAGTAAGACTCGTGTCATGAGCTCTTTAGTGGAACTTTTAATGCCGCTCAAAATTGCACTACAGTGGAACTAGGCGTTTTAAAAATAAAAAAAATCTTCAGCCTGCTATTTGTTTTTACCATGATTATTTTTTCTAATTCTGGCGAGCTAGCAATTTTCTTTTAACAAATTAATTCCAAATCAAGATGTGTTATTTTCGCGGTAAACAACCTTAATCATTTGGTTGGGGTAAAATGTGTCGGAGGTGATTCACGTATTATGCACAACGCATTGAAGTCGCTAGATCTGCAGAGATCGAGTTGGCTAAAGGGCCTGTCACATTATATGCGATCTCATAGGAGACCTTACGGCGACAAAAAATAATTCATAAATTTAACCATCGAAGCGAGGACGCAAGAAAATGACAACTTTTTGTCTCAAAGAAGCTCAAGCTACGCTCATACTGTGCTCTTACTGCGCTTACGATGCGTTCAACTCGCTCTCTATGCGCCCCTGTCAAGCTCAATTACTCGATCTAGTCGCTGCCGCTGCGCTGTCACTACGCCCAAATTACGCTCTGCTCGCTGTTGATACATCCTCGTAGCATGCGTCGCGCTCTCTATTCGACCAAAATACGCTCATGTTACGTCACTTGCACTGTATAAATACCACGACAAAACGGTCAATACAAAGTCTAGTTTAAAAAAAATTATTCTACAAGTTCATCGCAGTCGAGTTACTTTCTTATGAAGACTACGTCGACTGCTTTGCGCCTAAGCTACTTCAATGCCATTTCAATGTCGCACGATTCACGCTTGCACAGCGCCCAAGTTGCGTCATTACGGCGCCCTGGCCAGAGCGCAGAGGTGTTGCGATTGTTTTGAGCATGTTCAAAGACCTTTGCGCTCATTGGAGACCATTAAGACCCTCTGGCGCCCATCTTGCGACCTAGTAGTTGTTGTTACGCCCCAGCTAATTTTCAAGGACGCAGTGAGAGTGCATATAAGATCGCAGACAGTGTGACAGGGCCTTTAACGATCAAAGCTGAAACAGCGCATGGCCGTTACATTCTTCACTGCTTAGTTCTCTCTTCTCGTGCATATTTATTTCGAGATAAGTCCCTATCTTCGCCCTCGATTCGCGGGCGCCGAGCATTTATAATATTAACTGTATTTGCTGGCACATGAGGGCGCTGTTGCTGGGACAACATTCTGGGGAAGTACAGGCACTTCATGTACATTTAAGTGATTTGCTGTAAAAGTGTAGCTCGTTGTAGCAGACACTGCATAGATGTATCGTGATATGGAGTGGCTACTATCTACAGAATCCTCAAAACAAAGCGGGGAAATTCATTTCAGCTTATGACAAAAAAAATCTAAAGAAAATGTCCACTTTAAGAAAGAGGTAATTTTCCTTCACACGGGGAATTTTTGATTAAACAGTATACAGATATAACATGGTTTGATGTTGGATAGTCGATATTAGCTCCCAGGGGTATATTGGAAGTTCGCTGAGGGAACTATAGTTTGTCAACTTTCAGCACCGAGGGAACTAATAATTATACAAATATAACATATGGTTCGACTGCGTATGTAAGACAAGCTCACACCATCACACACACCCACACACACTTTTTCAACAGAAGAAGGGCCATTGGAAACCACCCCCCCCCCCCATTTTTGTGGTAAGAAACAAAAAATGCCCATTTTAAGGCTAAGTTATATAACTACTAACAGGCAAAATGCATTAAATAGCACTGAAAACGGAGAGCAAACGGCTTAACAGATTTAAAGAATTGTCTTGATATGCGCGCCAGTTTGCATAAGGCCCGGTTCATACTTCATGCGAAAGCGAATGCGAATTAGCGAATTTGACGCCATGAAACATTCGCTACGAAATTCGCCCGAGTTTAGACCTAAATGTGTTGAACTTTTACGAATTCGCAGCGCGATTACTAGCCATGACGTCACAAATTCGCGTTCGCTTTCGCTTTCGCGTGGAGTATGAACCGGGCTTCAGATGTACGTATGCATCATATACAACTCGCCTAGTACCATGCAGCCCCCACCCCCAGGTTTTCGAATTTCCACGAGCGGGCACTTTCAGGATTTTGCTCCCCCCCCCCCCCCCACCCCCACCCCGACCCCCGTTCGCCAGCGCTGATTTAAACCACTGTGTAAATGACTTTACGCCACTGAGTCAAATCTTTGAAAGTCTTTCCGTTGATTTCTCTCCCATGATGTTTTGGACTCTCTTGAATCAAGAACCTAGTACCCTATACAGGAACTCAGAAGGTAGTGTTACAAGAGCAAATTTTCTGGGACGTAACCTCAAACTGTTATCAGTCATTACACCCTAAATAATAATACTTTTGCTAGTTTTCTATTTCATGTCTTCGCAACATTTGAGATTATTTTCGAAAGTAATAATGGGCGTCCTAATTTTGACTGTAAACTTTACGGGGGAAATTTATCCACATCCACTTAAGTATCTGTTTCGGGACATCTTAAACCCGGACGCTCTAAACTGTAAACATCCTGGCATGCCAATTAAGTTCACTGGGTTATTAGTCTTTTATGCCAAACGCTGGATGCCGAGCTGTTCTTACACATTAACGATTTGTCATTTATGCACAGCATAAAATCATTCGCAGAATTATCAGAATGTTGTGTGGAGCATATAATGGACGTCTTGCACGCAGACTAACCAAGCTAGTGTATACGTGACAGATGTTTGTAACTTTGGAACTCTGCCTGGCGTGAGAGATTGTGTTCATGTTATGTTCATAGGTTATTTATTGGCACTTCGACTCTATATAAGGCCAAAAAAAAAATATTCGGTCTCTGGTCAGACCAAAGTTCCAGAATTGACGTGGCCACGCGGCTTTTTTTTTTCCTTTTTTTTTTTTTTCAAGCTTGGATTGTACAGACAAGGTGGGTACTATTTTGCTTTTTTGGTGTCCTCATGTACATTGGTGTCCTCCACAATTTGCCTTGGTGCTTTCGATCATTTGCCTTGGTGCAATTTCCCATTCCTTGGTGCTCTTTGGTAAAACAAATTGAGGAGGTGTTGAAATAGAGGGCGCTGTTGGAAATACCGCGGAACATTTTGGAAAAAAAAAAGATCGACGCGCATGCTTAAAATCGACGTGCGCGCTGACCAGAGACCGACTTATTTTTTTTTTGGCCTAACACCGCGCACTGTGAGTGTTAGAGCCCAGACGATCATCGGTGTCGTGCCGCATCCATCGCGTGAGACAATTGCTGCAGGAGATTGTCTGAGCGAATAAACTTTACAACATCGTTAGATAAACAGCAACGATGGCATCGACTTGGTTCCTTGCTGTGCTTGTGCTCACCATACTTTGCCGTAAGTGACAATCACAAATTCATAAAATTAAATTAATGGTGTCATTTTT